ACTTTGAACGAGTGAAAGTGTAATGTGATTTATGTGATTATGGATTATGTGACAGCAAGGGAAGGTGCAAAGGGGGTAATAATCATAACCTTGGAAGTTAACGTGGACATGACAGATAGCGCAAATTGTATCTTACACATAAGGCTCCGCGTACACAGCCTTCTCTACAAGGGTAATCCATAAATTATGATACAGATAATTACCGCTCAGATTTCTACCGGTACTTGTGTGAGCAGAATAAATACAGTTTCATAAGAGTGAAATCAATACATACTGTATCCCCAATCCAATCCACAGTATGAAAGCACAAGGCTACATCCGGGGTATACGGAGGCAGTAATTGGTGCATGATTTTGATTGGGTATCATAGTGAGACCTGGCTAGAGCCTAGGTTCCGGGAGCTAGCAATATTACAAGGCTGACAGTTCTAATTATATCTTAGACATCTTATCTTCAAGATCTTTCACCCAGCCTTCTACAACTTTCATGTTTCCTCCTATGACTGTTTCCCCTTGTTTGATTGCTTCCTCAACTTTCTCTAATCCTTCTTGCCATTTCTTGATATCGTTCGACATTTCGACTTGCCTTTGCTCCACTCTGTCTAAGTTTTCACTAGCTGTAGCAGCATCTGCATGGATAGCTCGTAATGATCGTAGCCTGTCCAGTAAAGATGGTAAGAGAGGTGCGAGATTCTCGATAGTAGGTAAAGTCCCGTAAAGCGCATTTATTTTCGAAATCTGTTCTGAGTCCTCTCCATCGTCAGGAGAAATTTCTCCTCCAGCTGATCTTAAAGAATCTTGTGCAGCTTTGGCCGATTTTCGAGATTCTTCCAGTTTCTCGGCTTCTTGGGTCAATGTCCGAACTCTTCGACTTATGCTATCAAGAGATGATGGGGTGGACTCAGTAAGGATCGAGACTTGTCTTTCGAGAATATCGAGAGTTGGTAGAACGGCTATCGAGTTACTAGTAGAATCCATCGTCGAGTTGAGTCCAAGAACTTTCTCCAAAAGTGCCAATCGTCCATCGAAATCTGCTGCCTTTGCTAAAGCATGACTCTGTTGGTAGGTGGGTGCGTATGTGACAGTATATGTAGAAGGTTCTCCGGTTCCTTGTGCCGTCTGTGGTGGCCCGGTTGCTTTGATCCCCGTTCCCAAGTCCTTCGCCAATCTTGCTCCAGCACTTGTGATTTGGTCCCCTTGGTTGGCGGATATGCCATCCAGCAATTTACTCAATGCGGCAATATCATCTCCATCATTTGACTCTCCGTCCTCATCGATATCTTTCTTCTCTTGATTTCTCTTTCCATATTCTTCCTTAACTTCCTCGATCTCACGTCTTAATCTTGCGAGTTTACGTTCTAAGCTTTCTCCATCTTCATCATCACTGAAATCGCCAAATTCCTCTGTCCCATCTTGCCTTTTCCTGTGTCGTCTGGAAGAAGCTTTATATGATTTCCTCTTTGCTGAGACTCTATCTGAAAAGTCTACACCGCGTGCATCTATTCGTGCGGGAGAGAAATGCGAACGGGCTTCATCTGGATGTAATCGCGAACGGGAAATGCCCCCCAATTCGTCATCGTCTTCATCAAAATCTTGATAGGAAGATGATGTTGATTGAGAACGGGGTCTGCCTGTCTAGAGAATGTTAAAATGAACGAAGGGGGGAGGAGGGGCAATTCAAAGATGGCTTACAGGAGCAGTTGAATTGTCCTCTGTCAACTCAGGGGTTTCGTAGATATCTGGTGCTGAATCCTTGAACATTTTGGGTCAGCTATTGAAGCTCTCATAAAGACACCGAAAACATACCAGATCTGGCAATGCCGCATACTTTCTATTGAGGGCCGCCATTTTTGGTATCTTTGGTTTGGATGGTTTTTGATGAAGTAAAGTTCAAACCCATTTGATGCAATATGCGGAACGTGGAACCACTTTTAATTAGTTGACTAATAAGATACTTGTAGTACCTAGTAGTAGTAGTACCTACTAGAGTATTGGTGGTCCTCGCATCATGGATGGCAAGGGTTTACTTCGAAGCTCAGACCCTTCCACGGGTATCAATCGAAGAGCTTCGGTTGGGTTAGCTTCTTAAAGTCCGGGTTCCGGTGATACCGTATCCTACTAGGTAGGTAGGTACCAGTAACAGGGGTGGTTTTATCAAAGTCACATGGGCACTAGACTAACTTAGTATTAGCTCAGAACCTGGCTTATAGCACCTAGGCAGCCACAGTTTGGTCTTAAACTCAGCTCTATTTAAGTAACTTACCAGTAAGATAGATAGAGAGGAAGGTTTTTATATTATTGTATAACTCTAGGGAGGTTCTGTTTTCAATACACAATTCAACTTTTGTCTTTGGAATAATATACAGCAAAGCAATAAATATTCAAGATTCAATTTTGGCACCTGGATATTGAATTGAATTGAATGTTTCCACTTATTCCACGCGCCTTTCTCATATTCAATACCCTTACCTCACTATACCCACCACACGCTACGCGTTCTTCGAGATGCAGGCTACGAAATTGGATCTTGATGATAGTAGGAAAGCACAATCGCGACGTGCTGGGTTGAATAGGAACTATCCTCATAAACTCTTGCAATCAATCAATCGACCAAAGAAGGAAGAGCAACCCGAACACGAAATGCCCATTAAGGCGGGAACGAAGAGCCGTGCGAGCAATGCTAAGATTGGTAACATTTCTGGCAATGCCAGCGATGCTAAATCCACAAGATCACAAAAGCGAGAAGGTAAGGGGTCGGACAAAGAGAATAAATTGCGGTCATCGTCTTCCTCTACCATGAAGAATACGATTTCAATTGTGGAGGAGGATGAGGATGTTCTTCGGCTCCCAGATAATTTCGATGACAGTCCAAAGTTTCAGTATATCAGCGACTCATCTGAGGACGAATCACCTTCAAAAGTCAGCGCAGATATGACGAAGACATCCTTTGTATCAAAGAATACTAAGTCGAGTCAAACCTCTATTACATGTCCTGTTCCCAGTCCAAGATCCACAAGAATGCAGATATCGGACTCGAAACCAAGTATCAAGAGGAAGAAGGAGGAGAGTGAGTCAAAACATGATCTGAAGGTGGACATTTTTGGCACCATTCAGAGCAGCACTAAGAAGCTTAGATCATATATGGAGGTACACAAAGAGCACAAACCCCTAAGATGTACGTCAATCATACTGTTAATTTGCTTTAACTAATTTGGTAAAATAGCTGGCGCCAATAATATATCAGGGAAGCAGTATGGGACAAAGAAGACCGCTACATATGGGACAAAGAAGACTACCACATATGGGAAAAATAAGACCACCACGTATGGGAAGAAGTCATCGCCAGCTAAAACTTTCAAAAACTATGCACGAGATAGTTCTCCAAGCCTGATTAGTGATGATGGAAAGAAAACACTTCAAGATTATGCAATAGATACCCCGACAAAAATACAAAGTCCAATTACAGCTAGTTTTGTGCGCCCGGATTTCAGTGACGATGATTTATCAGATATGGATTTTCCCAGCAAGTTACAGCAGTCAGATCCTGCACTCCCATCAACACAGTCTCCACAACTTCAACGATACGGCGATGATGACGATGATGATATAATGGATGCGGCGGAAGAAATTTTCAAGAAGCTGATTCCGGAAACCATTGTTGGTCTGAAGGATTTCGAGAGGGAAGATAGTTCAGATCTTGACGATTACACGGGACCTCGTTGTCCCATGTGTAATGAACCTGTGGCCGCTGAAGATCTGGAAGCTTTCGGGGAAATGAATACTCGGAAGCAAGAAAAGTTCTGTCTATCTCATCAACGAAAGAGTGCGCATTCAAATTGGAAGTCCAAGGGGTATCCCGACATCGACTGGACAGCTCTGGATTCTCGAATTGCCAGACATAATGCATTTATCAAGGGGATAATCGGTGGTGCATCTTGTCATTTTCGAAATATACTGGGTGAGACAATCAGAGCTGGGAAAGATCGAAATTTGATGAAAAGTACTGCAAATCTTATACCCGGATATTATGGTTCTAGAGGCCTACGTCTAATGTCTGAAAATATTATGAAGAAGTTCACCCCAGAGTTGAAGGAACGAGCACCCATCGATCGTCTCATTGCAGCAAGAGGTCCAACTGCATTTGTGGAGTTGGTGGTTGTACCTGAAGTTACGGTCCTGTTGATCAAGGAAGATATGAATGTTGATGATGAAGAAGCAAGGGAAATCTTAAAAGAGAGTTCCGAGATGGGAGATTTGGTCAATGAGGAGATCGAAGATGTTGTGAAGCTTAAGCCGAAGAAGAAGTATGTTAATGACAGTGATGAGGATGAAGATGAGGATGATTTTGACTTTTAACTTCTACAATATGGTGGGGGGTGTTTGGCTACACTTTACTTGCAGAGCCTAGGGAATTGTTTAGCAACTCTGGCTATCTATTTGTGTTTTATGATGCGGGTCAATCATATTATTTTTGTCATGCCTAGGCCCCTGCCTAGTGAATGCCATGTAGCTAGACACGTGATCACTCTCTATATTTAGATGGTGATCTTCTGAAGAGGATCCTTTGGCTATTGTATTTGGGTTTGAGCTACTGATGGGATGAAGAAGATGAAGGGGGGAGTATACCATAGCCTTTGCATTTTGCGCAGTACAAGTAGAAGTACAAAATATACACCCATATATATTAATAAGATATCCATTCGAGCATGATTCTGCCCAGTAATGCATATCCTAAAAATGACTACTTTTCAACGTCAAAGCACAAAAGAGTCTCTAGCCCAATCATCAAAGACAGATCCAGTGAGTGAAGTGTGGGTCTACCTCGGGAAGCTGCATGGTACGGATGACTCCATTATCACCCCAATCCATTATCCAACCAGCCAAGCCCAGCCAAGTGGGGCCACCCCTCGCTTAAGCCCAAGTTTTGCAGAATTTTTCACTCACATTTTAGTCCCTCTACATATTCCAAAACTACCACCTCTCTCTCAATCAACAAAGCCTGCCCGGCTAGCTCAATCGGTAGAGCGTGTGACTCTTATGATTGCAAGATCTTCTGGTCCATCACAAGGTTGCGGGTTCGACCCCCGCGTTGGGCTCAATTCCCTTCATTGACTTGATTTTTTTGCTGTTTTTTTGGTATTTTTGGACCTCTTTTGTGGGGTTCCCTTTGCAGGCGGGGAAGCGGGGTTGTTTGTATAGGGCTGGATTGATTCAGATGGTTATTCATTCGGCTTTGGGTATCAATGAGCTTGAGGAATTATTAAATAGTTTTGAGGATCTCTTCTACTTGTTTCATTTTTTCTTATTGATTTGCGGGTATTGGCTGGGGAAGGAGACGCTGGGCAGATTTCTTTGTGAGTCTTGTTGGGTTGGATTGGATAGGATTCTCTCTAGTTGAGCAGTTCTGAGAAGATATTCCATTTGGATATATCTAACATCACTCGGGAAATGTTGCTATACATCATCGACACTCAGTTCTCGAAGGAAGAGTCAGTGCTCGCTGCGAGTATCGAATCTACAGTTTCTCGCCGTCAATGTTCATCTCATATGTACATTCTATGATGAAGTATCTGACATAGAAGTAATCTCGTGGGATGATGTTGATTATAGTCGGCATCGTGGCCAGCTATATATATTTATGTATAGAGTCTTCAGTGGTTTGATCTGCAATACAAATGCCAATACTTTAAGTGCTTGGTCTCATATGAGTCTTTGATCTTGTTTGGATGTCCCAAATGGATCGATTTTCCACATTATTTGAAAGTCCCAAATAATTTTAATCTCCCAGCTAGATTCAACATCCCAAGTTGTCAAACAAATCCAACATCGCAAAATCAATCAAAAATCAAACTTATCTGCCACCTATATATAGATGATGGATGATGAGCATGAGAATGATGGTCATGGGGTTAGGAACTACATTTTACTTTACCGGATAGTGGCCATCTAATCTCACTGTGCATCATTTATAATCCTGATCGTGGGAAGAATATTGAGCCAAAATGGTTCTTGCATAGCCCCGAGATTTCATAATTGTTTAACGGTGATGTTGGAAGAGAGAATGAATCTCTGGTTCTCATGTACATGATTGCATACGATCCGGTTCTGCCATCATATAACCAGCATGAACTAATACATATCCTTATAATCCGCACCTGTAGTAGTACAAAAGCCAGCCAGCCACTACGTCTACTCAACATCATACCCGGATGACAAACAAAATGTTCAACTCAGGGGTGGATTTTGTTTGAATGTTATGGAAGTACATAATTTGATGGTTGGAGGTGATATATGGAGGATGCCTGCTATTATTTAAAAGGGGATAGTTGTGCTATGCGAGAGATGCATTGTTACATTTTGACAGTGAGAAAATATATTGCGGTTTGGTGGTGGATAAGGGGTGTTCGAGTACGTGATGTGATTGATATACATGACTACAAACTCGAACAACAATAAGATACATCAATCAGGACCTGGAAAAACATGAGTGAGAAGTGCATATTCTACTCCTTACGTGCACTAAATAATTACCCTCAGCATGCAAAGTATTGCGCTTTCTGGATGAAATTCGTAGGCAATAAGTCATTGACTGAAAAAAGGCCGAGGGATGATGAACGTTCTATAGATCCTCGTTTTTATTTACATAATGAGGTATGATGTAGGTTTTGGATGCGAAACTCTAGAATGTGACAGAATACTACTACACATAACATTTGATAAATCAGAAATCCAACGGATGGGAAAGGTGTAAGTAAGGTGGGTATAAAAGGAGACATATTCCGCACCCATTCCAAAACTCAAGTAACGTTCCCAAATACCTCCTTGAACCTGCAAGAGAGATCTCGACGCTTGGAACAAGTGTATTGTGATCCAAAGCTCCGGTTATATGTGGAAGGTCCTTTTTGATCTGGCGGGGAGTATTTTGATGTTGTGCGAGAAGTGTATACTTGTCACTTTAATAAGATAGAAGGACGGAATCGACGATAACTACCTGAGAATGATATATATGTCCTATGTTTGGCAATAAATCAGTACTCAAAAGGGGATGGATGGGACAACCAAAAGACTCGTTGAACAAGAAAACATTTATGAGTATGAGTATTTCTTCTATTCCTATACCGACTCATAAGCACAAGCACAAGCACTTCTGCATCCCTCATTCGTCTCCTCATTATTGAATGAGGGTAGTTGCAGAATCAACATCGAGAGGAAATAGCTGGTATATACTTTCAGTATCACTCCTGGCCTCATATGTTTCTTCCTAATCATAAATCACATACTTACCATTAAACGTTTCATTTTCATTTTCATTTTCAGACTCCGACTCCGACTCCGACTCAGATTCGCAGTTATGAGATAGAGATAGGTATAGTGAAAGACAAACAGAGCCGCCACAGGATGTTGATGATGAGAATATAGGTATGAGATGATGAGTATGAAACCCAAAAATAACCCCCAATATCTCGACAAATCTCCCCAATTTCTCCATCTCACCTAAATAAACACTTCACGCAAAAACTCCACCTGAAATAGCAGGCAAGTTCATCCATCCATCCATCCATCCATCCATACTATAAATTTAAAATATAGCGATCCAGAAGACCATCGAAGAGCAATATCAAGTACTCTTTATCATATATCGAGACGCATGCTTGCATCGTGTATCCTCCCCCCTTCCTCCCAAACATATCAATCCAATACCCATAAACCCATAACAATCTCAGACGCACCTAAGTTTCCAGTTCCCCCTTCCCTTCCCTTCCCTTCTTTTCTTCTTCTCCCTAGAAGTACCTACCTACCCACCTACCCAGCTAACCAATATATAATCGAATTCGAATTCGAATTCGAATTCGAATTCGAATAAGAAGTTATAACAACAAGACTTAAGGAGATAGATAGGTAGATAGGTACCCAACTCCTCCCCACCACACCCTCCCTCTCCCCCTTTCCCCCTTCCATCCCCCTTCCATCCCCATCCATCCCCATCCACCATCCACCATCCTCCTCCCCATACCCCTTCCATCCCCCTTCCATCCCTATCCCTCATCCAATCACCCCATCCCCCTTCTCTCCATCCATCCATCCCCCCCCTCCATCCCCCTCCCCCAACCCAAAAAAACCCCAACATTCAACCGCATTAAAACCGCCTAAAGATCCACCAAATAATCTACTAATCCACCAAATAATCTGCTAATCCGCTAATCCGCCAATCCGCTAATCTACTAATCTGTCAAAATACTTATGCTCATATTTATGTTCAAGTTCAAGTTCAAGTTCGAAAAGTATCCATACTGACAGTCAGTCACCGCAATTTCCCTCTCCCTCTTTCTCTCCCTCTTTCTCTCCCTCTCTCTCTCTCCCTCTCTACTTCACTTCACTTCACTTCACCCCACATGAATTAAGTTAAGTTAACTTATGTAGCTTAGGTAGCTTTGTACATCCATCCCTTGGTACCCCCACCATCCCATGATTCCATGAATAAAATAAGATGAGACCAAACAAATAAGAACCTACCTACCTAGGTACCTACCCACCTACCCACCTACCTATCTCACATCTCACATCCCCCACCCATACTATGAACTTGTTGGGCGACGAAGACTGGGTCCACGGCACTGGCTCTGATGGGTACACCTTCGAGATCTGGAGCGATTCGTGATATACCCCCCTTCCTTCCCTTCCCTTCCCCCCCTCTATTTCGCACTCTCACGCATAATACACAATACACATCTCCCCATCACTCAACAGGTAATCAACAGGTAATCAACAATGAATCAACCAGATAACCCGAAAAACAATCACATGCCGATGAATAACCCGCGTTCATTCACAATTGAATTCGCCATCGCCCGCATAAATAGGTAAACGTACTCGAGATCAAGACTCATAGCCTTATGATAATCCATCCATCCATCCATCCATCCCAATCAACCATCCCATATTAGGAACTTAAAAAAAAACCATGAGCACAAAAGAAGCAAGCAGAACGGTGGATAGTCGATACCCGATATCCACAATACTATCAAGAGGGTATCGATTCTACCCCAAGCTCAAAAGAACCATCCAACCGACACAACGCATTTTTCCTTCCAGTCCATATACGAGAAAACACAGAAGCTAAGAAACCCAACTTAATGAGAATTATTCTTCTTTGCCGCCTCTGTCGCCTGTCTCTCAATTTGTGCCGCTGCTTCTTCCGCCTTCACTTCTCTAACCTTCGCCAATACGACTTCCCTAAAGATTGCCCCCTTCGCTACTTTACTCAAACTCTTCTTCTCTCCAGGGGATGTAGATCCAGAAGCCGAAGATGAACCGGTATTTTTTCTCTCGGGGCTACCAGGGATAGCATCGTTAGCCGCAGCTGTAGCATTTCCGGGGAGATCAGATTCTTCGCTGTCGTCTTCTTGCATTTTGAGCATTTCTATACGATTGGCGAGCTTGACCATTTCGATACCACGACGAAGACGTGCTTTGGCCATATAGGCCTTGATTTCTGGAAGCAAATTGTGATCGGTGGCATTCTCTCCACTTAACCATGGGTGTGCAAGCGCTTCCTATAAAACTGTTAGAATCTAGAATATGAAATTTGTCTGGAGAACATACCTTGCTTGAGAATCTATCTTCTGCAGCTGGCTGCAAGAGATGACCAATGAAGTCCTTAGCATCATTACTGACATCCCTCCAATATCTTTCATGGAAAATGACTCTTGCATTACAGCACTCATCGATAAGATCTTGAAGGTTCTCGCTTCGGAAAGGAGAGTAACCACAGAGAAGTGTATAGGTAATGACACCCATGGACCACATATCCACAGGTTTTCCATGTCCCTTCTTCAACATAACTTCAGGAGCGGCGTATCCAAATGATCCTGCCATTGTTGTAAGGACTTCGTCTTTTGTATCAAGCATCTTGGCGATACCGAAATCTGCGAGTACGAGGTCGGAATGAGGATCTTGAGTGAGGTAGAGTAAATTCTCAGGTTTCAGATCTAGTTATTGTTAGTCAAGAGTAAATTCCAGTGATTAGAAAATGCTACCTCTGTGCACGACATTATTGTCATGAAGGTAATCCACAGCCTCGAGGACTTGTCTAATA